ATGTTGGTAAAGTGAAAGAACCCTTTTTTAAATGATTGTTACTGCTACATGAATTATTGACCCCAATAAAGTTCAAATTAGGAGAAAGCACAAAGAGATGTATTTGTTTAATCGAATGCAGCCATTTAAAGATGCAATACGTAAGATTTTCATGTCAAGTCATCAAATGGCCCTAATATTTCAAAACGCAATTATAAACCATGCTCTTTTTGAATACTTCTTTAACTGATAATAGTGGTTCAGCCGAGATATTTGGATTTCAAAATTTGTTTTACAGCCCCTAAAACTTGTTATTGTTTTCATTTCAATGTCCCGCCCTCCACCGTTTTACCAATCAGAAAGTCCGTGATCCGGGTTGCCAGAACTCACCACGTCGAGCTAATCGTACTGGTACATGTGGCCGCAGAACTAAAAAAGGTCTTGTTCTGAATCTCAAATAATTTATGACAAAGCAAGGAATAAAACATCAGGGGTCTTTGTGTTGTTGACAAAACTCAGTCAGGGAGAGTGGAAGAGGTTGCAGTACCACCTTTGGTGAACTGCGACTGTGAGACATTAAAATCGAATCAGATTATTTCTTTGGTCTGTGTCACGACTTAGAAACTCTGAAGACAGTCTGTATCCTGTAGTAAGCTGAAATGTCCATAATAAATACGGATCTGGGTAAAAGGCCAGTTTTTATATTCCATCAGAGACTTTGCTGACTGAGCATTAATTTATAAAAGAACTGTGCTTGCATTTCCATCTTATAACTCCTATTTTGTCAGGATATCCCCAGAAAAGGAGTTTACATTCTCAAAATGTGGATTTTGTGGTACGAAACTTGAATCAATCTCCACAGAAATGACTTACTCATCCAGCAAACCACACAAAGTCACAAAGACCTCTTAACATTAATGGATGAAATTGTATTCAATTCCTTAAACCATGAAACAAAAGCACTGTATACTAATACTGTGTCAAATCATTTCCAATTAGCTCATATTTTTGTATTAAGTAAAAGCCTAATGCTGAATGAAATCTCTGAATTCACAGATATGGCAAAACCTACAATACAACAAACAATTGAGAAGTCTTTCCCAATTGCTAATTAGTAAGTAAGTAAGTAAGTTTTTATTTATATACCGCCTTTTCACTGCAGATCTGAGTCTCAAAGCGGTTTACAATTGTTAATTTTGGGCATTTGTCTCTCACTCCACACAGAGATGGGAGCGGGGTCGCCAGTACAGGAGGCGCATGCCAGAACTATTGGACATATTTTTAGTGGTAGGGGAAACCGGAGTACCCGGAGGAAACCTACGCAGACACGGGGAGAACATGCAAACTCCACTCAGAAAGGCCCTGGTCCGACCGGGATTCGAACCCAGGACCTTCTTGCTGAGAGGCGAGAGTGCTATCCACTCAGCCACCGTGCCGCCCTATGGCTATACGTTAAAAAAAAGATAATTATAATCCATACATTCTTAACCTGTACATTTGTATTCAGAGCACTATGCTACTGTTTACATAAAGCCTTATTTTATTCAAAACAAGTCCCACAATTATCCCAACTGGCTTTGCAGCTGCATCTATCTTACATAAAAGATGTTGCCGTTTTTCAGGTGACACAGCGACAAAATACTCCCACAATACTAAACATAATGACACACTATTCAACTGTAGGGTGTTGGGAAAAACCTCTGTTTCTCCCACGCACATTTTATTGTATATTACTTATATATGTATATATAGATATTATTCTTTTACTAGAATAATAAAATACTTCTTATCAAGTGCTAAAAACAACGAAAAAACGAAGTAATCCTCCCACTAGTAAAGAAATGTATTTGGCATATCGTTTAGACATGTAAACCATAATCTTGTATTTTAAAACAATAATCATACCCCGTGAGCTTTTCCACATTTTGTCACGTCACAATCTCAAACCTTTTGAGAAAGACCACAGCAAAGTGGTGGATAATGTGAAGTGAACGCATAACTATAGAGGATTTTATTGGTAAAGAAAAATAAAGCAGGAGCAGTGGTGCTACTGTTGTCTCCAATGTGCATTTCAACCAGATACAATGAATCAAAAGTTATTTACAGATATTTGAAGAATAATAAAACACAAAGGCATTTCATTCATCTGTATTCTGTTATTATATCTAGAAGCATTGTCATATGTGGGAATCAGGAAACTCACCATTTATTCCATATTTTGGACACCCGGCCAATATTTATATTCCCCCTTCAATTAACCTTTCTATAGGTTTATAAATAATTAAATGCCATTTGGCCATTTTTTCTTTATAGTGATTACGTTAAGTGTCATTTAGAGTTATTCAAACAGTTACTAAAAACAAAGGGAAATAACATGTAATAAAACATTCAATAAAAATAAATGCAAATAACACAGTTAAAATCTTATGATGTAATAAAACAGTTTATTGTTATGGTCAAAGTTCAGAACATGAATTCACTTTCACACTATGCATTTTCTCCAACTAACTTAACTTGAGAAGTGAGTGAAGAGAACATGGACGCATGTACTTCTAAATATATATATAATCATTATTGTTGCTGCTGTTTTCCCCTAAATATTCTAGATTCGTTGTTGTCATTGTTGTTGTTGTGTATGTGGTATTAGGGTTTGCTTCTTTGCCATTGATAAAAAAACAAGTTTGTATCTGAAGCACAAATGTCTGATAGGATTTATTATGTTATTGACTGGCGTGTTTTATTGACCATCGTGAATATTATACAGGACTGACCCAGAAACGCTGCAGACTTTGACTCAGCTCCACGTCTTAGTAAATTATCGGTTTAGTCGTGCAGAGGAAGAGACAGCACTTGGGTTGCAGCACACCTCTTATTACACCTGGAAATACTAGGGTTCCTGAAATGTTGAAACTACCTGATAGATTGTGGTGAGTCAAATGGTATGACACGTGCACTTTCTTCAAAAGGAAGAACGTTTGTTTTTCTGAATATTTTCCCCCAAGACAACATACAGAGACTGTGGGGTGCAATGGAGTTCATAGGGGACATCGGGTGCCTAAGTTTCAAACCACGATGAGGAACAATGTGTTAAACTCCTCCTACTATCTAATTGCTGTCAAAATAGTTTGGGTCTATCACTAGCTTTCACATGTATGTCTTTTGGTCTTTATCACATTTTTAATCAGCTTTTTCAAACAGAAAAGAGAAAAAGAGGACCACACTCAGCTCAACACCAATCAGCTCTTAGTCCAAAGTCAATAGGGTCTCATTTATGCAAAATATTAAAAGTGTTAATATGATAAAGACAGTTGTTGTGGTCTGATTTGTCAATGTTGGGACAAACATAATGTACTATTTACAGTAGAGAAACAGTTAGGGACCTCAGCTTTAAAATAAAATTAATGGCAAAGAGGGTTTTATGGTGCAAAGAGTGCAAATGTCATTGATACATACTGATTGTACCCTCACATTATACAACACCACTAAAGGATGTAAAGGATGTATATGGAGAACATCATTAGAAAGAGCACTACAATGTGGATGAAAGGCCTTTTGTCTTGTGCCATGGATATTTGTCTTTCAATGATGGCTTCTGTTCTGTCTCTGGCTTAATTGGCTGCTCAAATTGCTAGCCGAAACCATTTCAATACTAAAGTCTCCAATGCACCAGGAAGCAACGATTTTATCACACAGACTCCATATTGTCCTCACACGTAACTGATACAGAGAAAATAAAGGGAAAAGTTTTAGCCTCCAAAAGAAAACTTAACATATACCTAAAAATCACTTACTAGGCCATTGAGCAGGTAAGTAAGTAAGTTAGTAAGATTTATTTACATAGCACAATTGACAAGCTTTTATTGCAGCCTCTGTAGCAGAAAAGATCATTTCCAAAATTCTCGTCTGGAAGATTTTAAGCTCCTGGTTGTGTATCATACTTGGTAGTAAAAAGGTATGGCATGTGTTGCAGTTGGATAATGAGTGGGTGGCTAAAAGGCAGTAAGGAAAGAGAAAGGCACTGTAATTACATAAGCCTTTTCCACACATGGTGAACGGGATCATAGTTATTTCAACTGCTTGTTTAAATTGCCTTACATCTTAATTGTGCAAAACTGCTGAGTTCAGCCCTGACTTTGAATCAGTATGGAGCTGTGCGGGTTTACGTAAGTGGGAATCTATGCGTGTACTATTCGAACACGCTTAAAGTGTATCTTTCAAATGCACAGGGCTAGAAATGATGACATTGAGCTTTTGATGGGAATGACGCAAGAGCACACCACCAGACCAGATACCTTGACCATTGGATTATGCAACGTCTGAGCCAGGTGGACAATGACATCTAACTACATACATTAGGTGTGTCTTTTGACTGCAGGATTATTGTGGCTTTCAACACTGTATTTTAAAGATTATGAAGGCATGTTAATCAAACATATTTGTGAGGAAATAGTGAGGAAACAAAATCACGCTTCAAAACAAGATTATTAATTTACTGATATAGTAACATGATGGTGTGTAAAGTAAAACAATGGATTTCAAAGTTGAATTCATTTGAGGATGAATAAATAGACATTGGAGAGTATGTAGTGAAAATAAAACTAAGCAATCTTGCCTCGGTTTGCAACCAAATATATGAAACAATAAAATGCATGACGTACATTTTCTAATGGAGGGTCCGCCACTTTTTTGTCAGCGTTTGAGCAATTTGAGATGTTAATAGATAAATATGTAAAATGACAAACGATTATTTATTTACATTATATATTTCATTGTAAAATGTGTTTTCTAATAAATAAACTATTTCAGAAATATTCGCAGAGATGTGTAGTCATGCAAAATCTGCAGGAAGATTTCTTGTCATACCTCCACAGATTCTTAAGCAGTCATTACAAAGAGACGCATGCACACAGAGTGCATTTCTCTGCATTGTCCATGAGCAGACATGGACAATGCTGTGCCAAATGCACTTTATGACTGTGCTAAGATAAAGAAAGCAAATCAAATCTCGATCAGGATCTAACTCACACTCCAGTGACGTTGGCCCAGGAGGGGAATGTGTTCAGATTAAACATGGCCTTGCCCCAACTGTTAATGGCTAATGTAATGCAAAGGATGCCAATTATATTCATAACAAAGCCTGTCTTGGCCTAAAGAGAAAACAAAATTAGGACATGTTTTGTCTGGCTGAACTGTCGAAGCAAAGAATCATTTAATATACAGTAAATACACAAACATAGACTCACCATGTCAGCTACTTTGAGGTATCCATACGAGAAAACAATAGCGTTTGGTGGTGTGGCCACAGGCAACATGAAAGCAAATGACGCACTGAGAGTACATGGCACCATGACGTACAGTGGATTCATCCCAATGGACTGAGACTGAAACAATGGCAAAGTTTGACCATTCAGACAGGGATGTACACGACTGTTTGTCAAAATCATACGATGGTCCATCTGACCCATGTAATCACTGAGTCATAACTCAGGAAGAACCTCCAGTGTTCAGCAAAACTCTCATGAAGTATGTGTAATTAAGATGTTAAATCTGCAGACGGCTGAGTCATGACATCTAAAATGAGAAAACTTTACTGACAGAAGTGGCTTGAGAAATACTGGAACAGTTTCACTCCAAGAGGTAGGATTACTTTGCATGTTTTGCCTAAATAGAAAATCCTTTTTATTTTTGTACTTAATCTCTAAAATTACAAGAACATGTTTCTAAATTCTTAGACCAATTTGCAACCAAAACCATTGATTTGGCACTTGTTTGGCAATCTCTTGAGTACTTCAGTACCAGACAGTGATGGCATTCTTTTGCTGTTGAGAAGAGAGCAACAGTACTGGCCATTGGGATGAATTGGTGTGTTTGGCAGACTGCAAATGGGAGGAGGGGCCCGGGTAAGGGTACCAAACATATTCAGCTTGAATGGCCCTTTAGAATGGTAACTAACCAACTAACAGGGGAAATTACAAACCCCCAAAGTACTTTGTGTTTGAAAGTACAGTATAGTTGCATTGTGTTAGGCATAACCTGCACCACTGCAATTATATTCAATGTGTCTTCTGATGGCCATGCACGTGTCACTCGTGCTGGATATCTCACCAATGAAGCCAGGACTGGCAGGAAGAGTGTAGCGGTGGCCACATTACTGGTGCACTCTGTGAAAGTAGCAATCAACAGGCATAAGATGATCGCTATAGCCCATGGAGGAATGGTTTGTAGGGGACTCATCTGGTCTCCCATCCATTTGGAAAGTCCAGATTCCTGTAGACATACCACTTCATTAAAACACCTATAACAGATAAATATTCAACTTATTGTCAAAGTGATTTCATAACTTACTTCGCTACCCTTTGCTAGTGCAAACCCCCCACCAAGCAGAAGGACAATACCCCAAGGTAACTTTTTCTGGGCCACTTTCCATGTCAGAAGCGGTGGAGTATTCAACACTGTGAACCCAACATGTTTTAATTGTTATTAAACATGCATACATGCATATTTAATCATTAAAAAAATCATTTAAAAAAATTAAATATAAAATGTGCAATACTGTAGCTCACTTTGTTCATTTTGACACCTCCAGAAGCGTGGAGGCTTGGATGGTAGAACAAAAAGAAGTACAGCAATAAAGATGGCCACAGTGGCATCTGTCACATACCTAATAGCAATACAAACATTTTAAGGAGCCTGTAAGATCAAACACAACAATTGACTTTGCATACTCACTCTGCTTTAGAGTTGAAGATGTCTGTAGCCCAGCCATTGACAAAACCTGGATCCCTGGTGAACCACAGCACCACCAGGAGAACAAAAAGACACAAGACACTAATTTCTCCAAACGACATTGGCCCCAGTGCCCGGTGCTCTTCTCGGATAACATTATAGGCAGCTATTTCTTTCTCTGTCTTTGTTGCACCACATCCCCACGTCTTCTTTAAGCTGTGAATTCATAATTATATCTTTGTAATCACACAATGCAGAGGTTTACGTCAACTCTATTCAGATGCAATTACCTTTGTAACATCACTAAACTTACTTAAATCCCATGAAGACAAACTGTAACCACAACCAAGCCAGCATGAGCATGATGATCATGTTGGGGAATGCAAAACCAAACCAAGAAGCAAAGTTAATCACATCTCCATTGTCAGGGAATAATCTGAAAACACAGATCACATAAATAACTACAAAAACACAACCTCAATGTGTGGAGCAGCCAAACACGAGAGACAGCTCTGTTCAATCTTGCGCTATTTGTTTCTTTCATTTATAGAGCATCAAACCATAGATGTTTTACCTCAAAATGGTGAGTTTGACACAAACCTACAGAATAACAAGAGTTTACTTTTCAGTGTTAAACAAGCAATTCGCTAATGAGCACATACAATCCAGACAGTAATCCAGATCACCTCCAATATCTAATTTGTTCCTTGCAAATGTTAAATTTTTGTAGAAATACGGCCACACATTTTTTTTATGTTGGTAACTGATATCTACCAAAACCTGATGAAAATATAACAATGAACTGCATGAAGATGAATCAATGTATAAATAAACAGAGACTTACTGGTTCATCTGTCCTTTAAGCACCAAATTTGGGCCAGTCCCCGTTAGCGTGGCGGTTCCGCCAATGCTGGCAGCATAACACACACACAAAGTCATCCCTTTGCACATCCTTCTTCTCTCAGCAGCCTCCTTTTGTTTGGCTGCTTCTGCCTCAGCATCCAGGAATGTTAAAATAACGGCACCTACAACAGAGGTCACTGTTGCAGGACTTCCTTAACATAACAGACTGAAAGGACACAAGCAACACCCACCTTGTGTTTCGTTCTGTTTTTCAGGGAGATGCTTGTTGTCACTGTCTGGTGTCTGGAGCTGCTGCTCAGAATTTGTTATATGAGAATATTGAGCTTCATTGTTGTTGAGCTGTTCCAATACAGCCTGGACTATAGGCACCATCATGGCTGTGGTCGCAGTGTTACTGATCCACATGGACAAGAAGGCAGTGACTCCCATAAAACCTAACATCAAACTGACACATGATAACATTTTCAGTAAACAACAGTTTTTGCTTCGGTACTATCAGAACAATCTTTCAAACCATAAAATCTTATCTACACAACATAAATGTTATCTTATTGTCTATCATTAACATTTACTTACAGTGCCGGCCGAACTCCTACAAAGAGCAGAACTCTTAGAGCGATGCGTTTGTGAAGATTCCAGTGCTCAACTGCCACTGCCACCATCAGCCCCCCCACAAACAGGAGGTTTGTGTCCTTTAGGTACTGCATACATACCTGGAACATGACCAGAAAGCATTATTATATCAGAATGTAAGAAAGCAGCTTTGAGCACTTACATCTTTTGATTTCATGATCCCAAACAGAGGAAAAAGGAGAGCTGGCAGCAGAGCAGTGATGGCCAGGGGCATCACCTCTGTGCACCAGTATACTGCCATCAGCACAATGACATAGGCACATTCTGCCTCCTGTAGTGACACATACATGGATACAATTAAAACATACATACCATGTAGTTCAAAACCTTTGGACACCTTTTAAAAATGCATTATAATGGTTCAAAGGGTATAGATAAACATTTGTGTACCCTTAAACAGCCTGTGATTAAAGCAGTTCAAGCTGAGACCCAGAAACTCCTGATGTCTCTCAGTCTGGTCTTCCAAAAAATACCCTTAACTTAATTATCTTTCTTCTTAGATACATGATAAAAAATGTATCTAGGATTATATATAGTATTTTTTAAAGTGTCCTATACTAGGCTTCATTTGTCTTGACAACTAACGGTCAAAAGTCATGTCGAGTGCAGAATGGGTTCCCACGTTTTGCATGACCCTTAATAATAACTAGAGAGTTAGAAACAACATTGAGGACCGATCTGGGGCCCCAGGCTGGAGAGGAGATCAATTTGAGCTGCAACAGGTGCAACCCCGTTTATCATATTTACCTCCACAAATTAAGATTATGAGTAAGTATCATACTTATAATAAGGTACTAAAGCCTAAATACATCATACATCATCACAGTTATCCTCATCATAACAAAACAATGTTTTGGTACTTGTTAACTTGAAACCTCAAACATAATTACACGCATTTTATCCAAGATCTAGGCTCCTTACATACCGGTGTCCCGATCACCAAGGGCAGGGGGAGAAGCAGCACCGGAGTGATGAAGAGTATGAGCGGGTCCTTGATTGAGCGCACATATCTGAGGACAGCCATACTCAAGAGTGACACTCACACAGGCGCTTTTACTCCATGGATCCTGCTTTTGAACCCCAAGAGAAGGGCGGGGTATACGAAGTATGGGGACGAATCACAATGAAGATGGCTGAACAAAGGCTGGACATGAATGCGGTCGCCTGTACAAGCACTTGCTCCTCTGCAACTATTCAGTATGTCTAAAAATATAAGATATCTGTAATACAAATATAATATAATTTACTAATGTAAAGAGTTACTCTGACTTTGACGTGAGACCTAAATATTACTTGTGTTACGCAGATTGTGTTATACATGTTTTGTTTTGCTCCCTTCATGAACTGTGTGTGCAACAAAAAAGACAATTTCCACAAACAAAACAAGAAGAAAAATGAGTCTTAGTGCAGTGCACATCTACAAACCATTACCAAAAGTAGATATTTGTGGTCAATACTTGGCTATTTAATACAAAAGCATTTTGACATTCTTCAATGACCGGCAGCAGTGAATGATGTGTGATGTAAGGACGACACCTACTGGGGAGCTGCAGAAATGCAGACGCACGTTCTCCTTGTATGCCGCTGCCCCGGTATAATAATTATCATCATTATACAGGAGAAGTGCGCCATATAAATGATTCAATCTTGAAATAAATAAATATAAATGCACCACTGTGACATCAAAGGCATACATTTCAGTAACAGGCCTGTCACATGATGCGGGTGTGCGCTGTCACGTGAGTTCGCAAAACATGGCTCCGGAAAGCGCACAACAAAACAGTGTCGAGTTTTAACTGACTAATGCTGTTCACACACAAAATGAAGCTCTTTTTTCGTGTTATATCGCTTTTTCCAACGTCATAAGGAACTAACTTCCACTCGAGTGACACAGGACCGTGTTCGTTAAAGTATCATTGTTTGTTAGCTCTGGGCTAAATTCAGCTTGCTACAAGTTTGACAGACGAGGTGAGTCGATCCCAACAGTTGTGTTGCAAAGTCATTATTTGTATTTTTTTGCTGGCCAATGCTTATAAACAATCTAAAAGATTCATATTGCAGTGTTCATATTGCAGTGTTCGTAGCGTTAGCCGTGCCTGTATGCTAGCACTTTTAACACTGATTTAACTTAAATTAGTTAACGTAAATCTTTTCACAACTGTGTATTAGCATAGTAGACTTATGCTGCTGACATGTGTCAACTTTATTATTAGTAACATGATATATCTAAGAAGTAAAACAACGCTACGTTGTATTATAGTAGTTAAGCATCTAGACCTGAAGAACTATAACGTCATGTGTTTTATCCTTAAGCCACTATAATAAATTCTTCACACAGATTGCATACTAAACTTTTATTTCTTTCCCTAGAGTTTGTGTTCCATCTCAAAATGAAGCTGTGGTTGAAGATTTGAAGAGTTACCTGCACTGGTCACTATGGATTGGCTTGTCAAAGCGGTGGGAAGAGATCTGGGCATTGACCGACATCAACTGGGACCTGGACCTCGGCCCACAGAGCTTACGGCTCTAGTTCCTACACGTTGGGTGGTAGGTCTCAGGGAGAGAAGGGTTCTCCGTTGTCCTCGCTTTAATAGCAGTAATGAGACAGAAGTTGGAACTTATCTTCACTGCTGCCAAGCAAAATTGCCATCTGGGTGGACTCGAGTTTGCATTCAAGGTTTACGGAAAAGCAGACTGGACTATAGAATAGCAATAGATGCATGTTGCAATCATAATGAGCTCAACACTCAACATTCTTTCATCAAGACCATGCAGTGCGTGTCCCAACATAATATCAGGTGAGACCATTTTTCTAAATGTGGTATAATGATAGTTTTGTTATACATATTTATACTATGTAGCTTTGTAACATATTGTTCAGATGTTTGGATTATAAAATTAAGTTTCCAACTGTTACAATTGTTTTAATTATTTTTGTATATGCATCATATACATATTTCATCAGCGCTTAAAAAATCTATACTTTTGCACATTTTGTTAAGTTCACAAAAATGTTTTATTTATTGTGTGGTGGACCAGAACAAAGTAACACCTGAAAACTGAAACTTTTATTGAGCTGTTCACTCTATGAAAACTATTCGATCGAAACTGGCGGGAAATTGTCCCAAATGAAAGATAAATCTCCACTTCAGTCTTTAGCAAACCTAGTGCTTTTATTCCAAGATTGTCCTGTTCTCTGTTATATCCACGATCTCATCAACTCATCACATTTTCATCTGTCCTTGCTATAGAAAAGCATGGATGATGCACTGAAGATGATGAGCACAGTTTGTTTTTCCTCATGCATAATGTTGAGCATTTTGGCCAAAAAGTTCTAATTTGGTCTCACCTGACCAGCACATCTTAGTCTGCTTAATTTCAATGCTGGATTTCTATTTATCGCTCATCCACAATGACCAGATTTGTGTAGTACACTGTAAATATGATTTCAGTGCCGGTTGTCTTCTTCTTAAGAACATTCTTTCTCGTCAAAGAAAAAAGAAAACACTTTGTTTCCCCTTTTGTCATATGATTGGCTCAGATAATCATCTCTAAAGTTTGGACTTTATTAAAAGTATTCAAAATCTCTGTTTTTGGGGCGATTGTGGCTTAGTTGGTAGAGTATTGGCCTTTGGGCCTTAAGGTCGTGGGTTAGAGTCCACCACAAGACCTACTTCAACTGCTCCCACTCATGTCTGCTACCGCTGTGTCCTTGGGCAAGACACTTAACCCCACGTTGCCCGAAGCCCCTGCTGAAAGACCAAGGCTGTGTCACCGATGAAGGAGCCGCCATCTTCCTGTGGACTCACCACCTGCCGGAGGATCAGCAAGGAACTGGTGCTATGAGCAATGGGTGGCAGCTCTGATTGCCACCCAAATACATGTAATATTTTTGAGGATGGCCTGTTTTGGTCAGACGACAGCATTTTACTTTTTGGCAAAACCTTCGGCATTCGGTTGTACCACACCATAGAACAAATGACATTTCGTACTAAGGTCTGGAGGTGCTCAATTGAGCTCTGTTAACAGGTGGGATGGGTTAACTCCTTTTGCAGATTGAAACGATTGGATCTGAGTTTACCGTAACGTTTGTATTGCGCCCGGTCTGAGTGAGTCCTTAGCATTTAGTCTAGCCATCTCCTTTGCCGCTAACGGAGGCCGTGGGGAGTAGCGCCACAATCTTTGCCAGCAATGACTTTTGCTATACATTCCTCTTGCTCCGGCGTCAATTTATTGATAGAACCAGACCGGAATACGTCACTATTTCATTCTTCACCATTTGCCACACAACAACCTGCCCTTTCGGTGCAAACTCTTGAGGTCACCCACAACTAACTACAACACCCGCCTCCCGCGCTCGCTGACTGGTCGGATGGAATTCTACCGATGTAATCGCAAGCACAGGGACAAGACCCAGACGTTATATGCAGTGAAATGAATATTGACCGGAGTGTACGGATGGCTAAGGCCAGACTAGCATGTATTATCAATGCAAGGGAACATGTTGGTACCCTATCTTTTATAGTGAATTATAGATGAGCTTTCAGGAGGAGACACATAGAATGACATGGAAACTTCCTGGGGCTCCCGTATTTCAAGTCTGTTTCTTGCTGCGGTGGATTTGTCGTGTGTACAGGTTGTACAATTCAGCTTTGGCAAGTCCTCAGCGCCTATTTAATAGCTCTGTTTTTGGTATACTGAGAGTGGATTATAACATTTGGAATGCACCTCAGAGACATACCAGAGACATATCAGCAACATCTGCAAACCCCACTTTTCAGTTTTTATGTATACTATCACTTCAGTTGTTTGTTACCTTGTTGTGGTCTTTCCAAATAAAATCCTGAATAAAATATTTGTGTTTGCAATCATAAACATGACAAAATGGTCAAAAGTTCCAGTAGTATTAGTGCACTGTATTTTGATTCTGATTATTCTTTGTTTTTCAGAAACCTTTGGTGTGAGGCTCATTGTAAACTTGTACAGCCATATGCAGGAGCTAAAGAGCAGGTGCATGTTGCTGCTGTGGATGCCATACGTAATGCCTTGCAAACACTTTTCAATTCCAGCTTTATCACCTCTGATAACGTGTCACCATCCATGTCTCCAGGAAAAGAGAAAGACCTCTTATCATCCTCTTATTTTTCCAAATCTCAGTCTGATGCCTTGTGCCCAAATATTCTCAATGTGGAGTGTCTTTTTGAGACTGCTGATATGCTTTATGTCATTCTACCATACACTCAATACACTTTACATGACATAGTGTCCTTTAGCCCAGCCAAGCTGGCAAATAGTCACGCAAAAGTGTTGTTTATTCTCTACCAAATACTTGTAGCCTTACAGGCGTCTCATGCAGCTGGCTTGTCCTGCGGAGACCTCTCTCTCAAAGACATTGCAGTTGATGAGCAGCTTTGCAGCCAACTGAAAATTAATCTGGCTCACTTTGAAAATCTCAGGACGGAAGAAAGTAAATCTGGTGTCACTGAGCATCAATATTCTACTATACATTCTAGCTGCACACTTGTACAAAATAACCAAACGCTCTGTAAAGATTGTTTTGGGGAGCTTAAGAGTTTGCTTTTAGACTGGGTTCATGGAAAAGTTAGCAACTTTCGTTACCTAATGGAACTTAACAGGTTAGCTGGCCGTCGTTATGGAGATCCTAATTACCATCCAGTCCTTCCATGGGTGGTTGATTTTACAGTGCCATTGGGTCAATTCCGTGATCTCCGGAGATCTAAATTTAGACTAAACAAAGGTGATAAACAGCTGGACTTTACTTATGAGATGACTAAAGAGGCTTTGGCAGCAGTGGGAAGTGGAATACGGGGTGGGGGTGTAGTAGGAGACCTTGGTGGCTTTACATCTGGTAATGTTGGACAGTCTGACCATCTTCACTTTCCCCATCACATCTCAGATGTGCTTTCAGACATAACTTACTATGTCTACAAAGCCAGACAAACTCCCAAACCTGTGTTGTGCAGTCATGTAAGATCTCAGTGGGAGCCTAACGAGTACCCAGCAAGCATGGAACGTATGCAGAGCTGGACCCCTGATGAATGCATTCCTGAGTTTTACACTGACCCTTCTATCTTTCGGTCTATTCACCCTGACATGCCTGATTTGGACGTTCCCCCTTGGTGCAAGTCCTATGAAGATTTTATTGAGATACACCGCCAACTTTTAGAAAGTAGGGAGGTGTCCCAAAATTTGCATCACTGGATTGACCTCACCTTTGGTTACAAATTGTCAGGAAAAGAGGCTGTCAAAGCCAAGAATGTGTGTCTGCATCTTGTTGACAACCACACCAATCTGACGACTTATGGGGTCATACAGTTATTTGACCAGCCTCATCCACCTCGCCTGTCCGCATCCCAATATGCCCCAACAGAACCACCTCTACTTGGCCTTTCCTCTTTAAACGTGCCTTCACCACACATTCCACACAGTGGTGTAACAAAAGACAGAATAGATGGACAGGTGCCAGAGACGACGGGATGCGAGTCAAGTGGGTGGACTATGGTTGACAAAGATGAAGATTTGGAACAAGGAATGGAAGCTCTTGACTCATTGGCGTCGTCTGGCTCTTCTGCAACTCTAACACATCTTGGAAAGCTAAGTACAGACCATTCAGTTCTGGCCTCTTCACAACCAGAGTCTGATTTTCCACCTGTTTTAGGCCCTAATCTACGCACCTCTATGGGAACTAAAGGGGGACAAAGTAACAAAAAGTATGGTGAGGTTAGTGCTGGTTTACATCAAGACGACGTTAAAATAACTCTTCCTGAAGGCTTCAACCCTTTACAACCTCTGGAGGCGCTGGAGAAATTGAACAACTTTTTAGTAAAGTGTTTGCATGCCGATGTGCATATTTCTCAAAATGGGGGTTTCACAGAGAGAAACACTCTGCCCTCTAACACACAGCACTACCAAAGGGACATGCAGGCCCTTGGCGTTGTCATTGCTGAGCTGTTTTATTCCCACAAACTCTTGGGGTTTAAATCAGAAACTCCTCTCAGACAGCGATTTCAAGCTATCATTAAGCTATGCTCAACTAGTCTTCGTGATGTGCCACTGCCATTGCATTATGCACTTGAAACTCTGCTTCTCATAGAAAAGCATTCTAGTGCGGAAAACTATAAACTACCAGATTGCCCACAACCCTTGCTTTTCCAGTATGATGTAATTCGAGATGGTCTTCCACCACCAACTCCTTGGCAGTTACTGAATTCTGTTACCAGCCCCTTTCCATTCCCTCCATATTTTTCTGCTCTTTATAATTTTATTTTTTCATATCACACTAAAATGCAGCCTGCCTGTAATGTTCAAGGAAGAGATGTCGTCTTTCATCTTTGGCAGCGACTTGAAATCTTGCTTAGTGAGAATATCACAGCTGAAGGTCTTGAGATTCTATTGCCATTTATTCTCACCTTAATGGTTGAGGAGTCCACTGCAATTTATGCTGCATGGTACCTTTTTGAACCAATTTCAAAAGTGCTTGGTCCCAGAAATGCAAACAAGTATTTACTAAAGCCACTAATCAACATTTATGAGAACCCTCAGTGTCTCCAAGGCCGTTTCTATCTTTACACAGACTGTTTCATTCTGCAGTTGATAGTCCGTCTTGGTCTTCAAGCTTTTCTGTCAAGCCTACTGCCTCATGTACTGCAGGTTATCACTGGCTTTGAAGGTTGCATTATGGGCTCTGGTGGAGACTCATCTAAAGAAGGCACCACAGGAAATGTAGAAGAGGAAGAAGAGGACTTTGAGTCATTGTCAGGCTCTGTTTCAACTGCTGTGGGAGGAGTGAGTGCAAGTGGGGGAGCGGTGAGTGACAGCGGGCTGATGGACTACTCTTCAGGAATTAGTCTCAATGACCAAGTATTTCTGACAGAGGACTTCCAGAATGGCTTTTATGTAAATAATGGGGCAGGAAAACAACTTGACCAAAGTACCTTATCAAAATATCTGGATCAGGAGTCTTTGAGTGTTGGCAAACTCAGTGACAAAAGTAGCACAAGTGATCTATCCCTTGGTGATGGGGACTCAACAAGGGAACGAGCCAGTCTAAAATCTGCAGACAGCAGTCAAGATCTCAAACAGGCCAGTGAAGGCGAGGAAGGAGCAGAGATAGAGGAAGAAGTTACTGAAATATCCACCTATATAGAAGAGCCACATGAACCTCCTAATTCAACATCCGATCTAACTGTGTCTGAGGGCACAGAGGCCCCAGGTGCTACAGTTACCACTGACTTCGTAAATGGCAATAATCCAAGTGAGAAAGGAAATGTGGAGAATCAGGAAGAGGCTGACCAGGAATCTTTGGAAAATTCAGAAGAGAGGGAGCAAAACATTTTATTAGGTTAGTTACAATGTCTTGTTTCATGTTCCTTTCACATGACTAAATATCAAATAAATGTATTATTTACAGATACCATCTGCAAAACAGTTCGATGGTTGGCTGCAAAGCTTGGACCAACAGTGACTTCACGCTATGTAGCTCGGAATCTACTGCGGCTGCTTACCAACTGCTACATTGGTAAGTGACGGATTTCCAAAATTATTTGTTTACAGACTTTTTTCTCAATTGAGTTGAGAGTTTTCTAATCCAAACTTCTAACCAGGGTCTAAAAACCACCAATTTGTAATGCCACCACATGTGGAATACAGAACAGAGAGCGTTGCAATGGGCAGTGTGTACGAGAGGAAACCTGTAGTAGGCGACCAGACGGCAGGACCAGTCCTGGATTGTCTTATCTACATTGCACAACTATATGGAGAGCCTGTGCTCACTTATCAGTACTTGCCTTATATAGGATATCTGGTAAGATAATAACTTAGGGATTTTTTTGTTTCCTTTTAATAATTACATACTTTGTAATTCCAGGTATCTCCTCCGTCTTCGCAGCGTCTAAACACACGCAAGGAAGCCAGTTTGCTTGGTGCTGTTGCACTTACACAGAAAATCATTGTGTTTCTATCTGATACAACTTTAATGGATATGCTGATGAAAATTAACCAAGATGTTCTCCTGCCACTGCTGGACTTGCTGACAACTCCAAAAATGGGGTAATCACTAAAATATCTGTTTGTATATGTGGTAATTTATCTGCAAACAAGAAGTAATTTACTAATTCAAACACAATTAAGTATAATAAATGCTTAAAATTATTTATGGGATTATTGTGCTTCATCTAGATTTCCCAGTGGGGTGCAGGCTCGTACTGCTGTGTGTCTCAAAACACTCAGCCTAATGGCTCTCATTTGTCTTCGCATTGGGAGAGAGATGGTCCAACAACACATGGCTGACACACTGCAGAGGTTTTTTGCAGTTTTCTCACTGCTACATTTGTTAAAGCCCCAGGTATGTACTCCTCTCATAACAATTTGTTTCCATTTATTCTTGTGTAGGAAGAAAATACATTTCTGTTGTTGAAGTTTTTAACTACTGAATTTCGGATAATTCCCTGTGACCCTGCCCCCCTGGGACTACAGATTAAATGTTACCTTTGGCTACAATCTGACCTGTCGACAATATGTTCAACAAATTATGTTCATAGACATATACTGTTCCAGCCAAATAAAAGAAGAAATACTAATATACAATACAAGTACAGGGTGGAGACAATTGCTTTACAAACAAAGAAAATAAGCATTAAAACCTCATTACATGTTAATAAAAATAAACAGTGTATATAAGGAATGTTACTGATGCGTTCTATGGCACAATTGGTTGGTACTGTTAACTTTATTTTGCCCATAATATCTGTGTCCTTGTTTTATACATAAGCTGGACAGTGCTCCTCAGAGAATGGTTGGAGAGATGGCTGTTGTAGATGTTTGCATCTCTGAACAATCAGTCACATATGAACTGGGGGTATTGGAGGAGCTGCAGACGGTGTTCAATGCACAAATGGCCCATGCATCCTATATACCGTTCTACTGCCTCATAGGTATGTTTTAGAATTAACCTTCTAAACCTGTGTTCAACTAACTGAATTCCTCTTTAGGTGACACCGCCATTCGAAAGCTAGTTCCCAACCATGATCTGGTGTGGCAGTTGTCTCAGTCTTACACTCCTCGACAAGACATCTCTAATATGACTTCCTCCAGAGTGGAGCCAGTTATTCTGTCATCTAGTTTTGGCAGACAATTATCATCCAGTCCATTCCCATGTTCTTCGACTAATTTCCATTCCCCAGAATCTGAGTCAGGCACTTTTGGCAGCCAACTCATTGGTAATCGCATTCAAGTCTCTCAAGACGCAGATTTTGGTGGCACATCGAATTTGTCCAGCTCCTGGGGACACTCAAATAATACTGGCTCAAATGTTACCACTACTTCTACATTTACAACGACAGCCACAAATTCTTTTTCTAGTGCATGGGGCACTGGACACACTCCTGAGGACAGTCCTTTAAAGCAGGAGCTGCCGCGCAGTGGCCGCTCTCTTCAAGGAAACTGGCTGGCTTATTGGCAGTATGAGATTGGTCTTAACCAGCAGGATCACTTTCACTTTCATCAGATCCGTTTACAGAGCTTTCTTGGTCATTCAAGCACAGCAAAATGTATTGCACCACTGGCAGGAGAGGATTACTTCCTCTCAGGTAGTAAAGACAAGACCGTGAAGTTGTGGCCTCTCTATAACCATGGAGACGGCACACAAGAAGTGGAACCCAGACTGACTTACTCCGAACATCGGAAGTCTGTGTTTTATGTTGGGCAGCTGGACTGTTCTCAGGAGGTAGTGAGCTGTGATGGGACGATACACCTTTGGGATCAATTCACAGGTATGTCAAAAAGTTGTTTAATCCTGCAAGTATATTGTCACTTTGGCACTACTTAAAAGGCTTTTATTTGACAGGAAAACTCATTCGTTCTTATGAAGCTGTGGATGGTAAAAACCCAATTACATCTGTCACAACTATGCCAGCACCTCATTCCAGTGTGGTGCTGGGCAGTGCAGATTCCATCCTACGTTTTATTGATCCTCGCAAACCAGGGCTACAGGTATTACTCTTTAAGCATTTTATCTCAATACTGAATGATACTGGTTTATGCTTGGGTCATTTGACAATGAGCACATTTGTCCCCAGCATGAGTTCCGTTTGGCTTACAATAATGTGAGTGCCGGTCTCGTTCGCTACCTGGCTGTTAGTCCAACGGGGCGCACTGTGGCAGCAGGTTTCTCATCTGGATTCATTGTTCTGCTTGATGCACGCACTGGACTAGTTCTGAAGGGCTGGCCTGCTCACGAAGGCGATATTCTTCAAATGAAGGTATTATTATTTGGTTTTGTCCAAATAAGATGATAACTTTGTATTTACATATAGAGTACCAAACCTTTTTATAAATACAGTACATTGTGTTTTCTCCAACAAGAGTCTTGTTTAAGTAACATCTTGTGAGAAAATCAGACCACAGCTTGCAGTGTTCATCTCATTAGAAAAAAAATCATCTTTTATTTACCAAGAGCTGAGAGTGAGAGATGGTACTTTTTTACTGAAAAGTTTGACATGTGAAGATGTGATAGCGGCTAAACCATCAATAGAACCAAATGGTTCTGAGAGCGAGGAACTAACTGTTTGTGGTATTAAAGTCTATTTTAGTTTTTTATATATAAACCTAATAAATATGTGTGTTTTATCTATTAGGTTCATATATAAACCTAGTATGCAGTCTTCACTGCTGTCATTTGAGGTGTTTACACATTTTGTGGGCTGGGTTTAGGAACATGTAACTACTTGTGTGTGTGTCTTTGTGTTTTTTTTTGACAACATTCCAATCCAGGTTGTGTTCTTTCTATCAAATTAGGGATGTAAAAAACTATGAATTTTCATGACCGACCACCGAGCCTCATTAACCGGTTGAAACCGGTTAACCGCGTAGTTTAAAATAGTCCACGTTCTTTGAAATAACAGCCATTTCGAGCCGCGTACTTTTCACAAGTGCAGCTTTGCGTTCTACTGGATCAGAGTTGAGACGGCGGCGCCCAAACCCGCAACAGCTCCGGCACCTTTGCGCACAGAGAACTGCTTTTTTAATCTTCCCATTCTGCTGTGCTGCGGGTTAATACCAAAACTTTCTAGCAGCAAACGACGGCTCGTTCACATGGTCAGAGCAGCGAGTGACGAGCCGCGTCTCACAGTTCTTCACAAAAGTTTAAATACAAGTGATGTGTGTGGAGCTGATCCCGAGGACCATAAACACAAACATGTTCCATGTGGTTTGACTGAAGCCGCGTATTTGCGCAGTCACTTTACTGCCCATCATACGTCACTTTACTTCACTGTACTGCTGTCACCTTACATTGTGTGCACCATGTGCACTTGTATATTGTAAATAGTAACTGTAACTCTATTTTAAATTTAAATTTATTCTTTAGAAGTGTTTTTTATTCTTATTTTTATTATCTCTTTTTGACTGTTGCACTGAGCCAAAGCAATTTCCTAGCCTGTGACCTCCTGTTACTTACGTGGCAATAAAAATGATTCTGATTCTGATTCTGAATCCTTTGGGCTCCGTGACACAGAGGAGCGCGACAGACCTGTGTGTGTGTGTGTGTGTATGTGTGTGTGTGTGTGTGTGTGTGTGTGTATATATATGTGTGTGTGTATATATATGTGTGTAAATGTAAGCTCCAATGTAGTTCTGACCCGCGCCAGTGTGCAACTTTGAGTGACGGTAACAGAGGGGAGAGATGATGCGTGTGGATGTTACGGATGGAGAGGGGGAAAGTGTGTGTGTGTTTTGCGCGCGTGCGTGTGTGCATATGTGGCGCGTGCGGCGTGAGAGTTGTCCCGGAGTTTATAATACATGGGCGCACACAGCTAGATACAGACCCGCTCGTCACACCGTGCAAATAGGGCTTAAAATAGCGTTATTAAGAGACCTCCCCTCTCCCCTTTTTCTCTTTTTTAACCGACAGCTTTGACCGGTTAACGCTGTGACGGTCAACCACCGGTTAAACGGTCGCCGATTTACATCCCTATATCAAATACTCATGGTGTTGTACGGGCTGGATTTGGTTTTCACCAATATGTATAGATTAAGTTGATAACTTCATGTTAATTCGAATGAAAAACCTTTTGTATTGGTCGGTGTGTAGTACAAACACTGGAAGAGGTTGAAGTATGTTCCGATCTGCTGTCAACACAGCAAGGATGAGCAAACTTTATTTAACCTTAAATTAGGTCAAGGATTGTATCTCTAGTTTTAACAGCACAGGTTCAGGCAAACATGGACACATGCTACTAAGTGGCACATTATTTCTATATGTATCACATAAATGAAACAAGAATTGTTCTCCTATGAGGACAGTAAAGTACACATTAACTCACATTTTGAATAGTATTACCATGAAAATGTTCTCATAGTGTACTGAGAAAGATGTACGATGAATTATTTTTGTGTCTTTTTCACAGGCAGCAGAAGGTAACCTTATCATCAGCTCATCCACAGACTACACCCTCACTGTATGGAAGGATTTGGAAAACAAGCCACTTCGACAGTACAAGTCGCAGTCAGATCACGTCCATGCATTTGACATTTATGGATCCGAAATTGTTACAGGAACTGTCTCAAATAAAATAGGTGTGTACTCCATGGCAGACATCTCACTGAGCCCTATTAGCAGCACAAAGTTGAGCTCTGAGAACTTTCGTGGCACCCTGACCAGCCTGGCTGTTCTACCCACAAAGAGACTTCTACTGCTGGGATCGGAGAATGGAGCTATCCGGCTCCTAGCATAGGTTCATTTGGAGGATGATAGACTTTGATTAAATGCACAAAAGACAAAACAAGTGACTTACAAGCTGTTGACTGTCATTACCACTATGAAGCCAACAGGCTACTGTCCACATTAGGCACAGATAACCCGTCTTTTAAAGCTTGTATAAATGCATTATAGTTCAATACATTCTTTTGTAGCTAAAAGAATGGATCACAAATATGCTCAGGAAAGTGGAGCCAATCCAGGTTTTCTTTTTTTTTTTTTAAAGTGTTTACACTTTCCAAATAGATGCATACATACCACACCAAAAACACATGTGGTGTTGATTTTCCTTGACGTTCTGTAAAGGCACTGATTGAACTATGCAGTATTTGTTGATCAAAGTAACCTTTTATTTAATACCATTCATTTCTATCTCTTATAGTTTAAAAAACATTGCAAATACTCTTTCAACTGCATTCCAGGGGCTTAAAAGCTTCTCGCAGGTAGACATTATGCACAGTTTTCTACTGCACAAGTATTGTTTTTATGTTGTCTTGAATAATGTTTTACCTATTAATAAAATACTTGAATATAAACAATCGCAAAGCTGTGGTTCAATGATTTTTTTGCTTGGTTCGTAGCAACTTGCATTTATATAACAAGTGTATTTATATTTGCTTCCTAAATGAAAATAAATTTCAATGAATATTGCATTTGTGTGAGAACATTGAACATGCAAATAAAACAAATCTGTCAAATCAAATTAAGCAGTATTTTTTTTCACTTAACTACCTTTTGAATTAAATTATTGAAATGTTATATTATAATGTGGAAAGCTTGGTCATATATGTTAGATGCATCATGTTTCATGTTTTTGGATTTTCAACTGTTGCAATTTGGACAAAGTCCGGCTGTGTTTGCTCACAGGTTGGTCAGTGTCATGTGATTCAGACTAAATATGTATTAGAACATTAATCATTCGTACTTGCACTAAACTGTATATGGGATGTACTCTTAAGTTGGTCTCATAAGTCAATATAAAATATATTTTTCTTTCACTAGTTTTGGTCTCAATGAGACCTAAAGATCACACAAATGTGAAAATTTTGCTTACAAATGTGCCTTTTGTATATTTGTTGTAATTGTCTAATTATATCATCGTTCTCACATGTGTAAATCTTCAACTTCAACCATAACATAGGGAGATTAATTTACAAACAAACAGCTTAAACGAGGACCAATCAATGGAAGTTGATGTTTAACTTTGCTGAGCAAGTGCCAATCTTTTACTCTCAGGATTTGTCCCATACATACGCAGTGGGTCCTTTTTTTGGATACAACTGTGGATATTTTTGAATTTTTTTCTCAAGGTAAGTTTCAAAGGAGGGAACTATATAATCTATAGCCGTACTTTCCACTTGTATGAGAGGTGGGATATAAACTTTACTTACATCTACTAAATGTACGTTTACAGACTATAAAATTTGCTCTTGTTAATGTAATCAAGTAAAAAGCCTTCTAATCAAAGTGAAGCGTTAATTGAAAAAAAAGAAAGAAAAATCATTTGATTTATAAGGTGACAATCTACAGTAAGGAATAACTTTTACTGAAATATTTTGAAAGTAAACTTTTTAAACTGATAACGATTGTCATTTTCAGGACAACATTCGTATGGACATGGACCCTCATCTGACACTCCTGTTTTTCTTCATCTGCAGCATAGGAGCAATTGTAAAATCCATTTATATAACTATATTTCCTTATTACATCTGTTTTAGCATGTGGTTAACTGTAAAATTGTGCAATCCTTAAACATTACAGAGTGCAGAGGTGTTTGAACATGGATCAATCTCCACTGTGGCTCCCGTGATACCAAGTCAAAGCATCGAGGTTAGTGATTAAAAAGATCTGTTTGCCCTGGTTGGACCAATGGTTCAAGAATATTGTACCAGAGTGTTAAAATGGACTTGAAAACAAAAGTTACCTATCAGTCTCTGGGTGTGTTCACACTTGCTCTCAAACAGATCAAATGTACATGTAAATACTGAAGTATACATGAGGAAATCATTGCCTTGCTTTCTCACTATGCTATGTACTGCTCATTGTGAGACTTTTAGTGTTGCCTGAAATTATTTTAGAAGCTATGCTTCTAAATTATGTTCATGATCTCTGCATCTCATGCATCACATGCATAACCACCAACGCTGGATTAATTCATTTAGAAGCATGGTTAACCACATCAAACCCATATTTATGAGCATGTGACATTGTACAAACATGCAGCTTTGAGGTTCACTTGTTTTTCTGTTATCGTCTTCAAAATATCGATTTAATCTATAGAAGATACTATTTATCTTTTAATGTAATGAGTAAAAGTAAATAGTTGTCAGAAAAATATCATGTAAAGTACAGATATAAGAAGCAATACTTTATCGGCTTAGTGGTTAGAGCTCACGCTTCTTAACAAGGTCAGTTCAAGTTTTCTCCAGGTCCTCCTGTTTCCCCATCCAATACCAAAAATCTGTACAGTAGGCCTTTGGGGGCCAGGACTGTCAAGAAAATTCAAGGGGAAGAAAAAACATAATACAAAAAAGTACTGTACATGAATAGTTAAGATCGATTTCCTTTTACTGTATTTTATCTTAGATGTTTTTTGTTGCTACTTGACACAAAAATGTACTCAGTCAAGATAAGATAACAGAACCATTATTAAGCCACGGTGCAGGTGTGGGCTAAAAGTGCAACTCTCAAAGTATTATAAGAACGAGTTACTTTTGTCTTTAGTTTCTCCCAACACTGTAAAACCCCTTGATCCGATCACAAAGTGACGCAAAAAGATACAAACGCAAGAAGTGTGGTTTGCCAGTTTGCCAAGGTTGAGTATCATAGCTTTATTTTTGTCAAATATGTTTATGCCATTTCTCACCTCAAATATCGTCTATTACAAATTACGGCGATAAAATTAGTGTATACCACATGGCTTTCATGTCCCACAAATTTAGAAAAATCAGCCCCAAGTGCACCAGAGTTTGTTTCAATTGGAGTTTGGACATAGTACCTCACTTTCTCAGTAGTCTGTTTAATTTCTGCTCTCAGGTGGTCGAAAGAGAAAATGAAAATTCCGTAACTGCTGAAGTGCCCTCGATTACAACTGAACTAAATGGGCCCAGTGAAAACATGACTGAGGAAATGGACGAAGATGGATGTTTGTCAAAAAGTCCTGCCTCTCGGAAAAGGATTGCAGATGCCATTGAGAAACTGGGCATGAAGCTTCTACAGAACTTGGAGACAACACCAGATCAACCAAATATAATAATATCACCTCTAAGCATTGCACTTGGACTTTCTCAGCTGGCCCTAGGTAAGAAAGAATATTTGTATCTATAATAGTAGCAGTCAGTCACATCTTTGTTGCTAAAATATTTAAAACTAAATGCTTCCTGTATAATCATTTGTTAGGAACCTGGTCTGTAAAACTACCAGATTCAATGTATTCTTGTACAGTCCTAAATCACAACAATAGTTATCTCACTGGACTAAACAGAACCGTTGAATTCGCCAACACAGATCAGAGAATAAAACAGTTCAAATACAAAGAACTGAGAACAAGTATTGGTCCATAAGTTGACCAATGTCGATAAGTGTTGATAACTGTTGTAGAAGGTTGCGTGTCCTAGATCCTCACCACTGTCCTTTTAGTTACACCCTCCTGCATCGGCAAGGAAAAACTCTAGAACCCAGTGGGGAAAAAAGTGAGAAAAATCAGGGAGAACCCCATTGAGAGAGGGATTCACTCCCACGAGCTTACTATTTTTTGTTGGGCATGACTTTCTGTCTGAATAGTCCCCCCCCCCCCCCCCCTTCTTCCATTATTGTGCTTTAAATAGCATTAATCTTTGTTCTTATGTTAGTGCCAGATATGAACCATAAACCAGGTCAACCAATCTGCTATCCCACAACAAAAAAGAACTGTCCTCCATCTCAACTTCAAATGTTGCGATGTCCTGTGAATGCAACTAATTCCAAATATTGTCGATCATTGCGCTTCTACCGTTAATGTTATCACAAAACAGGAGCGGTCAATGAGACGGAGGAACTACTGATGCATCACCTCCACAACCAATCGCTCCCCTGCTACCACCAGTCCCTTCGTCATGTGTTGGCACAGCTCCGGAATATTGACCTACAGCTGGCCACACGCATCTTCCTACGCAAAGGTCAGAGATACAATGTTGCCTTTTCATTTTTAAATTAATTAAAATATACATCTTTATTTTATGTGAATTTAGGATTCGAGCCAAAGCAAGCATTTATGGACAAGTCCCAGCATTTCTATGGCTCAGATGCAGCAGTTGTGGAGAGTCTTGAGCAAATAAATGAGTGGGTTGACAAAGCCACAAATGGAAAGATGAACAACTTTCTCACAGCTTTACCTCCAAACATGCTTCTTATGCTAATCAACGCAATCCACTTTAAAGGTTGGACATTATATAATAACTATAGTATAATATTTTAATTATTTATTTAACATACAATAATGTTATGAAACAAAAACAAAAATATATATAAAATGCTGTTGAACATAATTTTTTGTCTTTAGGAAAATGGCAAGCACAGTTCGACCCACATTTCACTTCCAGGGGTGTCTTCTATTTGGATGAAAATAGCATGGTTGATGTTGAAGTTATGGAAGCTGCCAAACACCCCTTGAGTCTATATATTGATAATGAACTTGAGGCACAGGTACAGTATTTTTTTAATGAATTTAATATGGTATTATTTAAACAAGTCACAATAACAATTGTATTTGTTCTTATTAGTATTAGTAATGTTAGTAAAATGTTATAAACGTTTCCAGAGATTTCTATACTCTATATATTATATATATATTTTTTTTTTATCTGAAGGTAGCAAGATTCCCATTCCAAAACTCCATGAGCTTACTTGTGGTAATGCCTGTGTCTGGTCATATCAACATTTCTGCTCTTACTTCGAAAATAAACCTCTCCAACATCTACGAACGCCTACCACGGGAGAAAGCTATACAAGTGAAGATCCCCAAATTCAAACTGGAATACAGCCAGGAACTCCAGGATGTCTTCATAAAACTTGGTGAGTGTTTATAATTTCATTCCAAAATTACATTGTTTAATGGTCATCTGCATTTTTGTTTTAGGATTAGGAGATGTGTTTAGAAATCCCAACCTGGCTAATATATCTGATGGCCCCCTGCTAGTGTCCAGCGTTCTGCACAAGTCCATTATAGAAATAAACGAGGAAGGGGCAGAGGCAGCCGCTGCAACAACTGTGGTCATCTCACGGGCATCCAACCCAGTCTTCCACCTGACCCAGCCTTTTTTCATTGCCCTTGTGAACGATGCGCATCAACTTCCAGTCTTCATGGGTGTGATCAATAACCCCAGTCCCGGAGCTCCAATCATCCAGAGAGCAGATCCTGGAGACAAGTTGGGATATCCAGTTGACAAGAATGACCTGGGTACATTTGGGGGACCACCAAAGTAAACAAGTCTGATTTGAATATCCATACCAAGACTTTATTAACCGGACCGATTAAACATTCAATATACACTTATTTTTGTGATTTTTATGAGCCTGGTGTGCACAGTTCAGTTGTTGTGTATTCTAATAAATGCCACTGTCAACGTGTTGCCAAATTTGTTATGTTGATTTGGTGTGTAGTATGTATAAGTATGTAGGATTCTACGTTACCATTATGTTATTTGGAACTATAGTTAATAGTGTTTTCTGGCACATTAAAATATACTAAGAATAAAACGAGCAGTAAAATAGTCTAACCCTAAACAGAAATACCTAAAGAAGAATACAACTTTATATGATTACCCTATAATAATAATAATAATAATAATAATAATAATAATAAATATATCTTTAAAATGGCAGGGTTTTAAGAGTAAGGATAAGGACATTGACAGAATGAATAGCAGAAAACATTACAAACATTAGTGAATGGTAATGTGCAATACATACTTTAGTAATGTACGTAATGTAGAAATACGGTCGCTAGATTACTTACCGTCATGTAATCCATATCGCATTATCATTAGTAGTAGGGATATATAGAGTAGTAGCAGTAGTAGACTAGTAGCAGTAGTAGTAGCAGAAATGCAAGTAGCTGAAGTAGCAGTAGTAGTTGTACGACTAAGAGTAGCAGCAGTAGCAGTAGTAGCTGTATTAACGGAGGTAGTAATATTAAAACATGCTCTAACAAACTCAGACAGCTAAACACGCATGCATTTAATGTTAATATCAAGTCGACGAACACGTCCATTTTGTCTTCGTACGCTTTGTTTACGTCAGCGTCACTGGGAATATACAAGAATATACACTGTGATTGGACTGTGTGTTTGGCGGAGAGGCACCAATAGCTGATCTCAGTTCAGATTCACAACAGCGGGAGGAGGACAAGTCTTTCCTGACTGACTCCAGATCAGTGGGCGGAGCCGGATACAGGAAGCTGCTTGGCGGGGTAGTCAAAGATGAGAGCAGGGTTGGCGCCAGTCGCACTGAACACTGAGCACCAGAGACAGCTGTGTGGAGCCTCTCTAGACATTTTCTCTACTTTTCACCTGAATTATTCAACTCTAAAGGCACGATGAAGTTATCAGAAGGCGCTGTGGAGGTAACTACGAAGGCCTTTATTTATATGTCTGTTATTTTAACGGTATTCTGATGTTTTGTGCAGTTTGATTATGGATGGGGGTTGGTATGCTTTTGTCAGGAAAGATGGAATTCTGTTAGTAGTCCACCATACTTTTGTTTTCAATAATACTACAATATAATGTCATTTGGTGGTAATTTTGACGTGACACCCAAGATTTGTCTTTTAGTTATGTGAAACTGTTCTTAAAATATTACAAATTTTACATTGAGCCGTTCTGTTTGTGTTCACTTAAAAGTGTGAAAGGCGACTCTAGTGATTGTGCGAGCAGGTTACAAGGGTTGTACAGGCTTTTGTTAAAACCATGGATGGATTAAACTAACTAACCCTCCTTTGACAGTTTAATAATCGGATGATTGGGAACCCCAACATTCATAGGCGTTAAATTGGTAAACATACCAGATACTTTCCATCTTGAAAGAAATCTGTAAAAGCACATCATGTTTTACAATGCCAGGAGAGACACAGGTGCTTAGGTTAGTAGGCCGGATTAATGTATCCAAGTCTCTACTCACATATATTGTTTTGTTGTTTTAGGCTTTAGCTAATGGACGCCCAGTCAATGACGTTATGCTGCAGTTGGTGGTAAGTACTTGATTCAACATACAGTGCATTGCAAGAGTATTGATGCAGCTTGACGTTATCTCATGTTTACAACCAGGAACATAAGTTTTTATCCACAAGCTGTTATCAGTGTGAACAGAGCACTTTAATGATTTGCACTTGTTTTGAAACTGTTTTAGTCGATAGATTTCACAGTGACATTTGTTTACTGTTTTATTTTTGTCTTTTAATGTTGTTTAATGTCTGTATTTGTCTGTGCACACTGGAGACTTTTTGCTAATGTATTCCAATGTGTATTTTTTTTTTTACTGCAAATGGCAAATAAACTGAATCTGAATCTGAAAGATTTAGCTGAGCTTTTTTTCCTGAAAGTTCACACACAAGTAACAGACAACTGTATAGTAAAAGCAAAAGTATACATGATTGTTATTTTTCAAGAAATGAACACCGAAGATTTGGGCATGACAACATACATATTTATACAGCATGAGTTGATACTTTCATTTGATTCCAACACATTATTATCTTTTGTTTTAAACCATTCCATTGTAGATTTAGCTTTAGCTGCTTTTCCAGGGCCAGGCCCATTGGTGTGTCTCCACTGCAGGAACCTCCCCCACAGGGCCATTTAAAGGAACTTTATAACGGGAACCAACAGAGTACGCCTTCTACGCACTAAAGAAATTCTGACGGGGATTTGAGGCATCACAGCAAAATTAAGTTACAAGACATATAATCGCACCTGAGAGCGCTGGGGATTCATCACGCTCCAAAACAATGCAAAGTAAAAAAAAAACCAAAAAAAACCCACAACTGAAGCGGTTTCAAACGTATAATAAATGAGTGCGCGGACGGTTCCTGAAGATGCCCCACAGCCTTCCTTTTACCTGGAACTCTTGCGGTGGAAATGCAACTTTTGTGTTTAGGGTCATTGTTATTCTCTAGCTGACTTGCAGGTTTTCCTCCAAAATGTCCCTAAACCTGACAAATGCAAATGTTCAAGGTGTATCAGTACTTTCAAGAGTCACTGTATTTTATTGACCAACTTAATGTGAACTCATTTTGTTGTAGAATATCCGCAAGATCGATGGAGGAAATGGCCCGGTTCGTTTTAGGGCCATGATGAGTGATGGCCGTTACTCCATGTCTTGTAGGTTTATATCTATTAACATTATTATAATTGTCTGTTCTCCATTATATTATTATTATTATTATTATAATAGCATTTTAGACGTTGATTATTGAGTGGTGACGTTGTTCCCTTGTATCTGCAGCATTTATGTTGTGTACCCAGTTGAACTATATGGCTGAGGATAATACTCTGGCCCCACACTGCATCTGTCTGATCAAGAGGCACGTCACCAATATACTGAAAGATGGACGGTAAGTTATCAATTGCCAGCAATTTTTCTAAGTATTTTCCCTTATATTAAATGTATTATTTCCTTTCTGTTTGCAGGCGTGTAGTCATTATTCTAGAAATAGAGGTTATAAAGCCAGCGGATCAAGTGGGTGGAAAGATTGGTGAACCTGTTCCTTACACTGAAGGTAAATTAAAGGGCATTTCAATGCGTTTCTTTTTATCTTATTTTCAAGTACAGTTGTTTTGATTACTTAATTTATAACGGACACATGTTATAGGTCAAAAAACAGCAGTACAACACCCACCACAGTCGAATCCAGCACCTCGCCCACCACTCCAGCCCCAAAACGGCAACAATGAAGGTAAAACTAGAAATAAAACCTTTTCTAGAAATCACCAGCAGATGGCAGTATTTCACTACAAAGAGAAGATGAAACATTTTTCTGTCAACAAGTCCACATAATGGGAATCAAGCTTTTGTGTAATTTGCGAATTTAGTACACATTCCAAAAAAACATTTGGAATGTTAATGTGATGCAACATTAGAGAGGCCTTCACATAAATACAAAGAGCCAATTGTTTAAAAGGTAGAGAGCAACTCAAAATTATCTGGTAACTGGTATTTCCTGATTAGTTTATAGCTTAATTCAATCCACTTGAAATAAGATGGCTCTTTTTCAGACATAACAAAAATAGGGCCGTTTTTTTTGCTATTGGCACCTGCCTTCCAACTGAAATAAAACTCTAGGACATGCCCACAACCTATTCCCACTTGGAAAATAACTTGTGCCAAGAGACGCCTGCGTTATGGCTGTCAGGAGGGATTTGCAGCTGTGTCAGAGCAGGTTCTTCTCCTGCACTCTGTCACTAGGGACTTAGGCTTCTTCATCAGCACACTTATTGTTCAGCTGTCTGTGCTCTCCTTGATCTTTGGGCTTAATTATAGAAGTGCCGAGGTGATAAAAGTGTGAGGACTTAAGTGGACACTTTGAACTAAAATTCTTGTGATTCACAAATCAATATACAGCAGTTTTTAAGTATCTTCTAAGTCTGCATCATCTCTACAAGTTCAGGTTGTCACTTTGCTTCAGCTGTGAAATGTGAGTCATCTTGCAGAAAGTCGTTTTTATGAACCTCTGCAATATATGAGATGACAATATTTTTGGATGCATAAAGATTACATTATGGAATAAGGGCACCCAATACGATGTCTGCTACATGACAATTGCGCCAGTAGGCAAGTCAAGTTTATTTTTATCGCACACACTGCAACTCAAAGTGCTGAACAAAACTATATGGAAACAATCACACAAAGCATTAAAATCATAAATAATCACATACATTTAATGAGTGAAGATAAAATCGCTCCGTTCTACAGTATCCACAGTCAAACAGAGCTGTTATAAACCTGGATTTGAACACTGTCCCCATGTTTAGTTCTCACTCTGGGTACCAGCTGGGAGGCCAGTCCCTGTGCTCCTCAGAGTCAGTTGGTTAAAATGGGACTAACATGTCTCTTACGTACTTTGGTGCAAGGCCATGGAGAGACGTGTACACAAGCAGAGCAGATTTAAAGTCTATTCTCTGAGCCACAAGTATGCCAATAGAATAAGAAATTGAGCATGATGAAGCAAAACATTGTGAAAGACTAATGCACAGAGTTAAACTCATGTCGCCTGTCCCTGGATTTGACTGCATTGCAATTTTTTCCATCTTTTCTTCCCCTTAATCCATTTCTGGGTACTGGGTACTATCACTTAAGTTAGTAAGCGCCTTTGGGTACTTCACATAGACCAGTCCTTCTCAAATAGTGGGACGCTCCTCTCTAGGGGGCCGTGGTGCAATGCCAGAGAGGGTGTGCGTGATCGCGGGGCACTTGCTGCTGTTTGCTGTACGTACTCGAAGGGGATTCCAAATCCTCCGTGGCAGCAGCGTTCTGACTCCAGAGCAAATCCGGCCGCTTTCTAATGACAGCGGCTCCTTGACAACAGCGCGGCGAGCACGTAGCCGAACGTGGTCATAACGTACCCAGCACGGACGATTCTCTGCTTGTTGCAAGTGTGTGTTTTTGCGTAACGCAAAATAAATAAATACATATTGCGTTACTGGAGGAAACAGAGCTGGACTATGGAGCCCTGTGTCTCTAAATTAAAGCTGTGGTACCTACATTTTTCCTTGCATTAATAATGCATGATAATGTTGGTTGTGCCCAAAAGTAAAATGTTGTGAACAAATCAAACAGAACATTGTTTTGATTTTTTTGGTTTTTTGCATTTTTAAGAAGGAGCCCTGTGAGTCTTTATTTGACTTGGATTGAGTGGATTATCTGAGCTGATCTAAACTTTAGCATTAAAAAGAAGCAAGTTTAAAATCTCAATTAGGAACCACACGACAAATGGAGTGAGTACCAAACACCATCTCCTGGTACTCATCTGAGTACCTCACTGATAAAGTTATGTGCACCCCTGTCTATATTATGTGCTAGAATCTATGCAGCGTGATTTGTGGAACAAGTTTTTCCCACAAAGTTTTTACTGTGAGTGGGCATTTATGACATACCGATAAAACAGTGACTAAGTACCTGCAATGAGTTGGTGTTAAACTAACCGTTGCATTAAAATGATGTCATCACTTTCCTGAAATTGCCTGAATTACTGAAAATTCCATGTTGTCAAAATGATAAAAACAATCGTAATCACCATATGAACCACCTCATTGAATAATCAGCATGAGTATGCAGTTCTTGTTCACAGTTGATCACAGCATTTCCCAAATGTAGTCCACAGAGGTTTCAATCGGGATATGGGAAAGAAAGCTGCGTCCAACATGCCCAGCACCCCTGGGGGCAGCTCTAAAGTTGTACCTATTGCCAGTCTCAACCCCTACCAGTCCAAGTGAGTACAGTCTAAGTTGAGTTTCTATTAACACGACCCTGCAATGAAAACAAAAAATGATGTGAATTTTAGGTGGACCATCCGTGCTCGAGTTACTAATAAAAGCACCATTCGAACCTGGAGCAATTCTCGCGGCGATGGAAAACTCTTTTCTATGGAGATTGTGGATGAGAGTGTGAGTTCAAGTGCTGTCAGATGTTTTTAGTTTTGTTACTGAATCTAAAATGTTATTTTTACAGGGAGAAATTAGAGTCACCGGTTTCAACCAAGAGGTGGATAAATTCTTTGAACTGGTGGAAGTTGGCAAGGTAAGGCCCATTGTCAATTTTATTGAGAGGCAAAGCTGACTGATTCATTAAGAGCTGTCAGTACTTTTGATTAAAACCACTGAGATGGTGAGTCATCCGGCACCACTGTAGTACACAATAAGCAGCTTATGCACTGCAGTGCTGTTGATTTCCCCCCCCCCACTCTCTGAAGTGATATCTTGTTTGCACCATTTCATTCAGGTAAATATTTCACTGATTAACACATGCTCTATCCAATTCTATTTGCCAGGTTTACTACCTTTCCCGAGCCTCGCTGAAGATTGCTAACAAACAGTACACGTCTGTAAAGAACGATTATGAAATGACTCTTAACGGAGAGACGAGCATCATCCCCTGTGAGGACAGCGCTGACGTGCCCATGGTTCAGTGTGACTTTATCACAATCGGTGACTTGGAAATGAGAGAAAAGGATGCAGTTGTGGGTAAGAAAGGCAAATTGATGAATCTTAAAGCCTGCTTTATACTGCTAGAGAGCTGCACGCAGCCTGTAGCCGGAGCGTGCTGACTTGGGCTCTCTGACCTCTGTCAGTTAGTCAATCAAGGGCTGTGATTGGTACCCAACATATCGAGGCTGTCATATGGATATGACACGGCGGCTGAGTGGATAACACTCTCACTTCTCAGCACTCTCACTTTCTGAGTGGAGATTACAGGTTCTCCCCGTGTCTGCGTAGGTTTCCTCCTAGGGCTCTGGTTTCCCCTACCATTAAAAATATGTACAATAGTTCAGAGTGAAATGAGTGTTTGGTTGTGAGTGCAACTGTGGGATGACAGATGGAAATTAGCCCAAGATTACTATCCGCACTGATGTGTTCATCTACCTTATAATAACTTATACCTTATAACTTCACTTCTTGTACAACTATGTAAAGAAAATTAAAGTCTAGATTTTGTTTAGAATAATCTATTGTAAATTTGTGTTACTAATGTGTGAGATATATATATATTTATTTATTTTCATTAGTAGTTCTATCTTGCATAATGATTCTTTCTTTCCAAAAATCTCAAATCCAATAACTAGAGTTTACCTCCAGAAGGCGCCATTTGTTCATCCTGTTCATGTTGTGCCTCCTTGGTTTTCACCACTGCAGTTTCAGGCACCTGGACCACCAAGAAAACATGTTTTCTTGTCTTTTTGAAGGTTCAACCCTATTATCTGTTTATGGGTTTGAAGTTGATATCCTTCACTGGACTAAAGGCTAATTTATGTTGCCTTAATCTGTGCAGATGTGATTGGTGTGTGTAAGTCTGTTGAGGAGGTGACCCGCCTTACTACAAAAACCAATCGTGAAGTTTCCAAGCGCACCCTGGACCTGATGGACATGTCGGGGAAGATGGTGACGGTCACCCTGTGGGGAGAGGAGGTGGGTGTAGTTCCGACAGAAGATTTCTATATGCAATCTTGGATGTTAACTAGATGAATGACAATCTTTTTGCATGGATAGCTTTATAAACGATTTTGTATTTTCCAAATTCTCCAGAGATAATTCTATGTCAGTATTATTAGACTATATTTATAATCTCACAGCTTTCCACAGAGCAGTAGAGTAGTACACTGCCGTCAGACATATAGTCTGAGAAATTACAGCCCCAATGTATCACAATTCATAGAATATAACATCATATTGGCATACTAACATTGTGTTAGTTAAGGTGTACAGGAAACAAAAAAAAACAAATTAGGTAATTGTTTGATTTTTTATTCCTTACAATAATTTAAATCTAATCAATCACAATATTGCATGAAAAAATAGTAAATCATTATTTTAAAACTGCTATAATGTGGGGAGGGAGATACCGGCAACGCCCAGATTGTGAAACAGTGGGAAGTCGGTGGTCCTCTGTAGAAAACTCATGGGTGCTGTGGGAAACTGTTGTAGTGATTGGGTTATGGAGCCTTGTGAATCATTGAGGCTTCTTGCAATTGTATCTCAACTGTTTTGAAGCATTCATTTTATCAGTCTGGCTGGATACGGCATCTATACTTTCCTAAACATTGTGAAGAATGAGAAGTTCGTCTCAGGAGAAGACAGGCGTGAGGGAGCTTTGGTACACTTAACTAAAGCAATGCATCAGTAGACTGACTTCAACACTGGTCAGGTGATGGGCCGTGGTGACGCAGGCTCTGGAGCACTGCTTTTGAAGCACTTTGCTTCAGGAACAGCGGCATAAGCTCAGTGGCTCTTGTTTCACTGGCCCGTCACTTCCAAAGTTTTTATGCAACACATTTATTTTTTATTATAGATTTTTTCTGAGATTGCATCTGGACTGGTTTCCAGCAAGTACTCAAAATAAAATTATATCTGTTTTGCATATCATTAAAATAACTTATCTAAACAGTAAAGGGATGATGTGGTTAGGTACTTATTGGTATACTTGGCTTTCTGCCTTCATTCCCTCCAACATGAAGTGCACCACTTCCTTTGTTTGTGCAGCATATAACCCTAGTCCCGAAGGCTGCCACAGCACACAAGTTAGAGTTAACAATGTCAGAGCGAAACGGCCAGTGTTGATACTATTATCCTGACTCTCTACAGGCTCCACACTTTCTCCTCTATATTAGTTGTGAAAATCAATAGTTTTTTATATTCCAATTTATCTAATTATTTTTTGTTGGTTTCTGTTTTGTCCATTTAAAGGCTGAAAAGTTTGATGGCACAGGACAACCTGTTGTTGCTATCAAAGGTGCCAAGCTGTCTGACTTTGGAGGCAGGTCCCTTTCTGCTTCATTTAGCAGCACCTTAATGGTCAACCCAGACATCCCTGAGGCATACAAGCTGCGAGGCTGGTAAGAATGCTTCTTCTACATAAGGAAAACGTTTAATATTTATTCTTGCGTCCCTGTAAGTGAGGTATTTCAAAGAAACAGACTTGAAGAATGAAACGTGTAGATTGCAATACTATGAGAATTTGAGCTGATTAATTGTATATTATCTGATCTGATCCATGACAATCTGCGTAGATGTTTTTGATTTTAAAATTGCAGTCCCTTCAATGGTATCTGTTCGTATTGCACAGTGGGGCTAACTCTTACACTCTGACCAATCTTCAGATGTTGTCCTGTGAAGAGACACACCATGTTCCGGCACCGTAACTGGTGCTGGACTTCAACATGGGGAAAAACTATGATTTTGAGCGAAAGAGATGCTCGTTATTAAAGAACGGCAAAGACCCACATTCTGATTGGTCGGAATCACAAGCCTCTGGTGCACCACCCCTGAGATATAGCACAGTGACACATAGAAAGTCAATAATTTGTCTATCAGACCTGTAAAAGCTGGATGGATTCTCTGATCTGTGTTAACCAATCGACAACCCAGAGTCATTTTAATGGTAAGCTCTTTTATCTTGGGGAAAACTGCCATTATAGCAATTATCTTCATATAGATAGTTTAGTTTTCCTGATTTATAATCTGCAGCGAACCTTGTGGGAGCAACACCGAATGCCTGATCTAATACAGTCCTCGGTAAACAAAGAAATGGGCTCTTAGGAACAGACCTCTCTGCTCTTGTATTCGCCTCCAATGGGCCTAGTGTGCAGTTGCTCCCCCTGACAATGCAATTAATCTTCTAAATCTTTCACTCCATAGGTTTAATCTTCAATGAGCAGTGTTTTGTGCAAATTGCTGTCCTTCCCTTTTTCACAAGCTCTAATGTTTCTCCAGGTATGACAAGCAGGGCCATGCCATCGATGCACAATCTCTGACTGAGTTGAGGAGTGGAGGAGGGGGAGGAAACACCAACTGGAAAGCTCTCTCAGACGTGAAGACGGAGCACCTGGGACATGGAGAGAAGGTACAGACTCAAGACTAACACAACATAATTGAAGTTGCAGAATTAGCTTTACCCATTTCATCTTAACAAATGTTGGTCAGTTTTTGCGGTGAGATTAATTTGGTGGGACACGCACTCTCAAACTGAGGAGAGTGCACGGTCAAAAGTCAAAATGAAGTATAACGTTCTAGACAACCCAGTTTTCTTCCAGCTCTCCACAGTGGTTAACTTTCATGGCAAGCACTTCAGAGTTGTGCAGTTCTACTTGTGTTATGCAGTTCCAGAACAGTGAGTGCAATGTGTAATTGGGGTGAGAGAAGGCACAAACACAGCTCTCACTTTTTGCATGCCTTGTGACAAAGGGTGAGAGGTTAGCCCTCACAGGACCTCTGACTAAACTCTGAAGATACTAATTGTCCTGAGCGCGTCATCTTTGTGTCACAGTCTCACGTTTGGGTGCTGCTCCCTGTCTGCGCTGACAGCAGGAGCCTCTCCTCTGTACGATGCCCTGACACCGCTTTACTCAGGCAAAAATAGCCCCTCTGTCCTCTTTTTGTTGGCATTCCTGGTCAATCACGGCATAATGAAACTTGCATTTTACTTCATTAGTGTATAGAAGGCTGTTGGGGTTGTCGAGCGTGTTTGTGCTGAATCAAAGCAGGTCATTAAACACTTCCCTGGCAGCTCTTCAATGCTTATCCATTTGATTGTCATTCAACCCTTAAGGACTTTCATTCCTCCAGTGACTTAAAACTTCAATGACTTTGCTTCAGCTTCCTCACTGCAGAGGTCAAGTGGCCTGGCACAATCATGTGGCACATAGAAAGTCATTTTCTTCTGCATGATCGGCTGCATTATCACACTCCACGTGGACCTCATTTATAAATCAGGTGCTGCAGATTCCATTTTGACAATTGCCTTTGCCATCTAACTTAACATTGTGAAATGCAAATATGTTTCTCCCGTAAAAGTGAATAGTAAAACGGTGCATAGTGTTTGTCTTAAGTGCTGTGGGTCTTCATACAAAAAGCACACAGACAAGTATGTATGTGTGTGTGTGTGGGTGCTTGAGGTGCCTGCTGCATTGGAGCTGTCAGACTGAGCAGCTCACTGTATCGTCCAGAACTGTGTTAGGAGACCAGTTAGGAGGACATGCAGGACCAGTCAACTGTTCTTTGAAATGGCATGCTGCACTTTACTGACTGAATCGGGGCCAAAGTGTCGCGGATTAGACTTGTGTTTTAGTTGTTTAGTCTCTACTGGTCAAATCAATTCTTTCTCTTTGTCCACAGGCAGATTACTACACTTGCATTGCAACCATAGTGTACCTAAAGAAGGAAAACTGCCTTTACCAAGCATGTCCGACCCAAGACTGCAATAAGAAAGTGGTGGACCAGCAGAATGGCATGTACCGCTGCGAGAAGTGCGACAAAGAGTTCCCCAACTTCAAGTACCGCCTCATCCTTTCTGTAAGTGACACCTATTTTCAGCCTTTCTGCTTCGTCTGCACTCTGCCGCCTGACAGTGGAGTTAGAGTATCGGCCCGACTGCTCATAACAAAGTATAGCACAGTGTAAGGGATAAATGACTGAAGTTTCATTATAAACATATTGCCAAAAACACAATGTAATAAAACCTATTCAGCATACGAACAATAGTGGCCCGACTCCAAAATGTAGCTTTTGCTTATTCAATTTATAGCCGTATAATGGATAATCGCTATGCAGCATTATGTAAGCTTTGTTTACAATGCGCTGAAGTATTTGAACTATGATATTGGATACATCTAAAACTGTTTGTGTGTTGTTCATGTGTTTTTGTTTTGTGTAGGCAAACATTGCAGACTATGGAGACAATCAGTGGGTGACTTGCTTCCAGGAGAGTGCAGAAGCAATTTTGGGCCAAAATGCAGCTTACCTGGGGCAGCTCAAGGATTCGGTGAGAAAATGCATCACTGCCCAAAGGAAATAACCCTAGCTCAAGCCTTCTATCATAGTTTATTGTGGCTACACAGCAGTTTGGGCATAACTTTTTTTTTTATTGCAATTGAAAGTCTTTATAAATATAACACTAAAATTCCTTCATACTTAATTTCTTCTTCTTTTAGAATGAAGCTGCCTTTGATGAAGTGTTTCAGCAGGCCAACTTCAACTCTTTCATTTTCCGCAGTCGAGTCAAGTTGGAGACCTATAATGTAAGTGTTAACATGACTTTCCTATCTCTTTGTGCATGAGGGTCAGCACACCCCAGCTCCTTCTCAAAGGACACAATGGCGTATTTACTGGGTCCACGTTTCCTTATGGCCACACAATTAGGGTATTTCAGGAGGGAGCACATAAAAGGACTGATTGGACAGAGTGTAAACAGGAAGTATGGAGCTGTGCCAGAGGGTGCTCACCGCCCCCACAGAAGAGGCCTCTGTGTCGTTCACTCCTCTACTACTCCTTCATACACTGGCTGCTAAGACCCTCTCCATGTTCTACAACACAGCTGCAACTCTCAAACTGCCTCTGATCTTTTTTTAATTTAACCAATGTATCTACCCGTATGTTTATCTACAGTGGTTGAGATACATAATCACCTTTTTATTTGAACGTACATTAATCAGGAAGAACGATGCTTGCAGTTATTCTGAAAGCAAATGTGCTGGAAGCGGCCTAAACTTTGCCTGTACCAGGGCCTCTAGATCTAGTGTGAGCAAAAATACTGTTTCCCCGATACTTAATTTGGACATATAGCCGTTCAAATAATCCCTAGATCTCGCACCATAAACAAAGCTACAACGGTCAAAAGATGTATGCCTTTACACTACACCTTGTGTGTCATTATTATCCCCCTTTAAATAGGGCAGATAAAAGCGAGGGAAAAAATAGCTCCAATTGTTCATCATGTACATTAGTTGCTATCATGTGTGTGTATAATTTTTATATATATGTGTGTGTGTGTGTGTGTGTGTGTGTAAATATAAAATATAAAATTTATTTAATTTTTGACTTTTCTGTTTTCAAATGCAGGATGAGTCCAGAATCAAAGCCACAGTGATGGAAGTGAAGCCTGTGGATCACAAAGAATACAGCAAGCGATTGATCATGAACATCAGAAAATTGTCCAACCAGTAAAAAGATCGCCTTTTTGTTATTTGGGCACTTTTATGTCTTGTTTGTTTTTGGCCAATAAATATGTTTTTGTATGTAACATGATATACATTTTACTTTGTAGTGTGATTCTACTTTGTATAATTATGTGATTCTTGCATTTTATTTGCAAAGTTAAAAGCATTTGCTGGATTATTGTGGGCTATTAAACTGAAAAGGTCTGTCTGAATATCTTTTTTTCTAAAATATTGGGTGTGGGTGCAGAGCTCATGATTTTTATTTAGGCCTTCATTTCTCAGTTTAATCTTCCACTCTTTATTTTACTTCTCATAGTGCTCTCAATTAAATTAGCTGTAATTGCTACACTGTTATCCTTTGAATACATTTTAATTTAAACAATTTAGATTATTCCTGCTTTTATCATGCATGTTTTAATGCAATCACCAGAACTGCCACCCATTCACCAAAACAGTTCTTGCCTTACTGCAGGTGGAGAGCAGCCATAAACTCGGCCCATCCTTGGTGATATCATTCGTTGCTGCTTTGAGCTGATGAATCCTGCTTGTTACAGCTTCATGTTGTGCAGACGCTGGTGGCAGCAGCAGTTTAAAGATAAATGAGCGTGAGGAGCGCCTCTTGTTTCCGCAGTGCTCTAACAAATGAGACCGTGTAGTGTGAGTTTGCAAAGATTCATGGGTCTGAGCTGGGCCCGGCACCACAGGTGTTTCTGTGACACCCAGGACAGGTGCTTTGCTTTGTTCTTTTCTCTGTGGATCCTTGAGTGTTGTCTGAATTCAGGTCATGTGGATGTGGTTCTGTGCACAGCTGCGGTGGCACGACACTAACACACTTCTGGCAGAGTCGGCCCTTTGTCTCTCTCAAAAACCCACAGGCTGCCAGCCGTCTGTCAGAAAAGGGATAGCTATGCACTATTCAAATATTTGTATCTATTTTTTTTAAATTGAGGGACATTATACGTCCCTTATTGTGCGCCTCCTTTTTCATAGTCCATCCTAACGACAATCATTTGGGTGATGCACCATACAAAAAATTTGAAATTATAGCCATTTCTTGCATAAAGGTCTATGTCTCCTCAATTGAAGCGGCTTCATCTCGGCTTCTCTGCCTGTGAGCCTGTCTCACCGGAATCGGAACTTAACTATTAGTTAACTATGGAATATGGAGTTGGTTGCCTTGTACTTAAAGATCGGCTCATTGTTCGTGTTTTTTGTTACGGGACTTAAACCAGGTTTAAAGATGAGCTTTTGAAAAAGCCGTTTCAAGGTAATAGTTGGAGCTCAGTAGTTCAGAGACAATTCTGGAAACAGTCTTTGGTGAAGTGTCATTCGCAGAAAAAAAAAATATCACAGATTTCAGAGGGAGTTAGTTTAGTTTAGTCTAGGGACAATGTACAGAGACATTAAGCTTGAAGACATATGTTCTGCACCAGATTTTAGCTTAACAGCTAGTTTCCATCTGCAGTCCCTGAGTTGCGCCATATTAGTCACATTTTCTAGGAATTTGCTTTGGTATATGGTGCAGACCAATAAAAAATAGATACAAAGGCATACCTAAAATGAACAGAACAAGATGTAATATATCCAGATGCTGTAGAGTTAAGTGCAGGGCCAGGTTTATGGAGTCGTCTACAGATCTGTTGGTTCTGTAAGTGAACAGCAGGAGTCCTATGTCTAAAGATCTGGATCTTGGGCATAGGACTAATGATGGAAGAATTGAAGCAGGCCGGGACGTGGTCTGTGAAGACGGGAGTCAGCTCATTGGCACAGTGTCTCAGAATGGCAGATGAGACATGTTCAGGTGAAGCCTCTTGAAGTGTCCTGAGACATCTTGAGCCATCGTCAGGATGGGGGTGAGGAGTCTTTGCGCAGTGGGGGGTAGAGGAGGTGTGAGATTTGTTGGGAGTGTTGACGACCTTGAAGCGACTGAAGAACATGTTCAATTCTTCAGCGAGCTCGTGGTCGTCAGCGCAGTGCTGACACAGGGCTTGCAGGTGGTGATTTGCCCAAGCCCCTTCTTGACAGAAGCAGGCTCCTTATTAGAGAAATCTTTTTAATTTGATCTTTGAATTGTGATTTGGTTTTCTTAATCTCCTTTCTAAAGTGAAAAAGGACCCCTGAGTTATAAATCTCCCCATAACGGGGCAAAAAGGTTGAGAGCCACTGCTATAGCCCAATGCCTTTAAAAAATATGGTAAGTGCAGGCTTTGACTTTATTATCTCCATGGTCGCTTTCTTATAAGTCCCAATTCTCACCAAAGGGGCATTTTCTGAATTGTCCAGATACTCATTACATTCAAGGCAGGAAGGAAATATGAGAAGAAACATCAAAGGTTGTGTGTGCCAGTGAAATTACTATTCCTACTGTGTGTCTTGGAATCCAAATAACTTTGAAGTTTTCAGATTTCCTTTGTATACCCCCCAAAAGAACATGTCCCGCTGTCCACTGGTCTGGCAGCTGTTGTGCATGGGCTGCTTTGTGACCTTGATCACATCCTTTTCTAATTGGATGACCCTTGCTTTGAAAAATAATAAATAAATCAGTCGTGGCATCATCTTGGAGTTCACTCAAGTGTCAGTTTAAGGTGATTTGATGTTTGCGAAGACTGGAAGCAGACTCAAGCCCTGTTTTCGGCGGCACAATGGATGAGTGAATAGAGCACTCTCAGCAAGAAGGGTTCGAATCCCGGTCAGAACTAGGTCCTTTCTGAGTGGAGTTTGCATGTTCTCCCCGTGTCTGCGTGGGTTTCCTCTGGGTACTCCCGTTTCCCCTACCACTAAAACATATACAATAGGTCTGGCATGCGCCTCTTGTACTGGCAACCTTACTCCCATCTCTGTGGTGTGAGAAACAAATGCCCACAACCGCTGTTACTCTAGTTTGTAAAAGGCGGTATATAAATAAAGATTACTTACTTACTTTTACTACGTCGACAATGGAATGTTCTCAGAGCAGCAAGTTTGTGTTAATTCGGCCCCAGGGCGTGGATCAGGCTTTACTTGCAAGTATGGCCACAAAATTCTCAAAAAATAAAAAGTGATGCACAATAAGCACCTCACAAACCTGCAGTTGTGTCTGCAATCATCTGGCCAAAACAAATCTCTCACATGAGCTTGTCTTTCACTCTTTTGATCTCCCCAACAATCCACTGAACGTTAATCTACTGTCAGCTGTCAGTCATCTGTAAGACAATGTCCTTGTAAAAAAGTTTGATTGGTATCACAAAAGGTAAAACATCCTCATGACATACAAGCATTGTTCTAACCAAACCTAATCATTGTGGTAGCAAGCCTGAAAATGTGTAAACAACACTGGCATCATTCCATAAGAAACCGATTGGGCAAAATAACCAATAGGCTCATCAACTGAAAAATGTCTCACAAGTTACACTTCTTTTTGTATTGTAACACACTCTTCCACATCAGTCTGAGTGCAATTGGAGTTGCAACTTGTGAATCATGGCTTGTTTATTTGAATGGGAGCCAAGGTCTTTTTAGGGAAACAAAATGTGCCTGCCTTGGTGTTTCTCCCCAGGACACAGATTATATCTCCATGTCAAGTGGTCCCGGCTGTAGGGAAGCGGGGCCCTTCAGGGAGCTCCAGGCCCTGTTGCAAGGCCACTGCTGACCAGAGAATGCTGAAGGGAAGCCAGTGTTTCACATAATAAACACTATAATATGTACCATTGTGTGCTTTTTGTCTGACACTTCTACAAGGTGTTCTTTCATTAGATATAGATTCACATTTAGACCTTGCGGATAATGCAAATTTCCCCCCAAAATCTTTCCATAAAAGAAGAAAAAAACAACAACACCGAAACGAAACACAAAACTATCAATTTGTAACAAGCCTGTGTGACAGGAGTAATTTGTTATTGAAGGACAGTGAGAGGGACAAAGAAAGTCATTGTAAAACTGATTGAGGAGGGTTTGACCAAAGCCTTTAAGACCGCATGGTAACGCATTCTCCTCCTCTTTTCCACTGTGTGTCCCGTGTCCGTGGCTCCCGGTGCGAGTGGTGGGCATTCACCAAGACTTCTACGTGGTCTCCAAGTTTCCGTCACTTCAAATCGACTCTCTCCAGCCTTGTTCCATGGCGTTGTCCCATGGAAAGTAAGTTTACCATACGACCGATCTGGAGGATCCCATAGAGATGATATGCCCGAACTGTCTGCTCATCACGGCTATGGAGCTGTTTGAGTAGGATTCAAGAAGGCGTTTTGAAACAGTTCATATAGATTATAGATTCAATTCACTTGACCTCTGCAAATGAGACTTCTCTTCAGTTGGGCCAATGTATTTCCAAGAGATGCCGTTACTACTTTCAGTGTTTTAACGTTTGAGGCATTCCAAATGTTTCATGGATAACCACACTCCATCAGTGCACTGTGTAGGTGTGCCAACGTCAATTACAGGGTTTTTATTAGAATTTTTATTGTTGTGATTTTTGCGTTCTGAATTTTTTGCAGCAACCGTGCATGTGACCTCCCATGCACAAAACCTACATCAAGGGAGATGAATTGGAATATTGTAATGTAAGGTATATAGTAAGGTATACATTATTGTCCCTGTAAGGTGAGCCATTTTCAATACTAATCATTGCTCAAATTCAAATTATTATATATTTTTTTATAGTCTTTGTAAATTCAGACATGGCTTTACATAACTACTGGCCAAACAGGAGCAGCATTGGGGAGCGAGTTTCACGATCGTGAAGATAGTTTCTCTATTTGATTTTGGCCTCTTCTGGAATAAGGGTCTGTCCAGTGTGTGACTATGGTCTATGGAGTTGCTCTTCTTTCAGTTGTTGTCCTTGACTTGTGTGTGTGTGTAAACAAAAAAGGGATAAACATTACCAACACACCTAGTCTGACAGTCAATAAATATTTATGCTCTTCCCAACTGTACCTCCCACTCACAGGGAGCATGGAACTATCAATATTCTTACATTATGTTTAAAAGATTTTTTTAAAAACATGTACAGATTACATGCATTTAAATGAGGAA